GCATAAGAAAGAAAGTGCACCACGTCGGTGTGGTCTTTTCTACTCCAGGAGTACAATGTCAACTGAAATTGCGATAATTCTCCTGACACTGGAATTTGGGCAATACTTGAATGGACAAGCACACCAACCAACTCCAACGTCTCTGCTTCATCAATCTCCGTTTTGTGAACCTGAAGTAAACACTACCATCTCCCATGCTTCGAGGAAAGCTGACCAGTGGAGATGGCAGCATTGTATCTTTCAGTATCTCGAATGGCGGTTAATCGCATTGAAACCTTGAAAGACATTCCTTAATCTCAGATGGGACCTAGCCATTTTAAAATTAAACAAAACACAACGAAAGACCTGAAAATTCAACAAATTCATACAACTCACAAGCGCATTAAAAAGACATAATAAGATACGTGAAAGAAAAACTTAATAGAGATCCAAGGTTTGTGTTGCTACTACATATCTGGTTTGAAACCCGATTGGCAAAGGACTAGAAATTTAATCAACACTCTGGTTTGAAACCTGCTATATTTGTTTTTTAAAAAATAATTTTTGAGAAATTATATCATCAAATCATTTCTATTGCTCAAATCACCAATCAACACACTGACAGGCTACCTTCAGATGATCAATAAAACATACAAGCACATGCACACACAAAACTAAAATGATTTTAGGATGCCAATTCACATGCTCCAGCGTCATTAAGGCAAAAGGTCAAATCGAAGAGAAAGTTCAGAAAGAGCAAAATCTTCAACCACTAACAAGAGTTTCACATATACATAGGAGTGAGATTATCTTCGTGGCTAAAGGTCCAAATATGAAAAAGATAAAGTTTTGATAGTAGCCAAATCCCCCTCTGTTTAAATTGAAGCTTACAATTCATCCTGTTCTTTCATCTGGGATGTAGAAATCAAACCGAACATCAACAGAACTAGAAGTTTCTCCAGTATCTTTGTACTCGATGTTTGTTATTGATCCACTCTCGTCTTCTTCCTGATGTCCGGGCTTCACCCGATGTACAGGCGCTGTCACAGAGTTTTTTAATTTGTAAGATTTATTCCTTATTATTTTAATAAACTTAAGAAAAATAAAATATTAATAAATTATTTTCCAGTTCATTTTCCATAACATAACCAAACACTGGAAAATGTTTTCCAGTTCATTTTTCATAACACTACAAAACATCAGAAAATACTTTACTTTTCAGAAATTTATTTTTCTCAGAATTCACTTTCTCAAAATTTACTTTCCAAAAAAAAATAAATTTCCTGTGTTTGCAGGGGATTGGCAAAGGATTGGAAATTTAATCAGCATCACAAACAATTATCAAATCATTTCCATTGCTGCAAACCACCAATCAACACACTCACACGCTACCTTCAGATGATCAATAAAACATACCAGCACACATATACACACAAAACTAAAATGATTTTAGGGTGCCAATTCACATGCTCCAGCGTCATTAAGGCAAAAGGGCCAAATCGAAGAGAAAGTTCAAAAAGAGCAAAATCTTCAACCACTCAACACGAGTTTCACATATACATAGGAGTGAGATTATCTTCGTGGCTAAAGGTCCAAATATGAAAAAGATAAAGTTTTGATAGCAGCCAAAACCCCCTTTCTTTAAATTTAAGCTTACAATTCATCGTGTTCTTTCATCTGGGATGTAGAAATCAAACCGAACATCAACAGAACTAGAAGTTTCTCCAGTATCTTTGTACTCGATGTTTGTTATTGATCCACTCTCGTCTTCTTCCTGATATCCTGGCTTCACCCGATGTACAGGCACCGTCACAGAGTACACCGTCCCAAGATCTGTATCAGTTGTGACACTCAGTTGAACTTTATCCTGTGATTCTATCTCCACGAATTCTGATAGAGCATGCACAATGTTGTTCACAATTTTCCGTTTTGCCTCATCACTAACTGCACATCTGTCAGAGAAGAGAATCATCTTCAGACGCTGTTTGGCAATCCTTGCATTTGAGCTCTTTCTTTGAGTTGGTGAAGGGAATATTATCCTCCAAGCCAAGTTTAAACGCTCAAAGAAGCTCATGTTTATGGCACTTAGGAGCAAGCTTTCAGCTTCTTGATTAATTGCAGTTGAGGACAGTTGGTAATCTTCAGCAATCCCAGCAGATCGTTTAAAGTGACCATGTATTTTAAAGCCAGGCCACTTGAGCATGTTTTGGGAAGTGCCACGTCCTCCATTGAGGAAGCCTAGGAACTCTACCTATATATTACAGAGCAAAAGACTTAACTATAGTGAGACATAAAACTTCACACATGCCAAAATCTGCCAGCCAAAAATTCTTCAATACTAAAAATACATAGATGTAAAAAACAAGAGCAAAAGATTATCTGTTCACTAAAGTAGTTCCGACACAAATACTGTAACAACTACACGCAGAGCATTTGGCCATCCTGTATCTATGCTGTCTCATTTTACTGAACATCGCATGGTAATCTATACCAGAGCATACCATCCAAGTCTTTGTTTTTCCGTAAATAAATGCAGAATTAGTATATGAATCCTCAACTTAAACAGCCCGGCACTCCAAATTTAATATTTCTCACTGTTGTATCTCAACTCTTCAAAATGAACCAATTAAGCCTTTCATCAGATGCCTGCTAACAAGGTGTTCATGTTAGCAGCATCTGCTGACATGGCAATCCACATCAGACCAAATTAAAACACCACATAATCTAGTCACGGAGAGGGGCTGAAATAAACAGAAAATCTTGGCGATAGAAGCAAAGATCTTGTCACTTGAAACCCATTTTAATTTATTGTTTTTTCTGGCTCTGAAGGTTTGAGAATTTGGGCCACTCCCATTGATGAGACTTCTACACTTTCATACATGAAACCTGGAGTAATAATCAGAATGCGTCAGTGTGCATAAATATGGCTTTGGAAAGCCTCTCTATTCTTCAGTACAAGATATTATGAGTAGAAAGATCAAAAGCTAACCCAACTCAGTGTATCCACAACATCAGACAAATGTTTCTTCAAGTTTAAAACATGAAAATAACAACCTTAGAGCATGTAAATATAAATTCAGGAAACAAAACCTGCGTTCGAAGTCATTTAATTGACAATTTCACTTCACCATAATCTACTTTCAAAATATATCTAGGTGCCAAATACATAATGCTAAACACCTCTCTAAACCATAAATTTTCTAAATTTCTGTTCTTCTCCTTTATTGTAAATCATTGCATACGGATTTAAATGATACATAATCACATACGCATTGACCCTTGTATGCCGAAAACCTATCAGCCCAGATCACCAAATGAAACAACAAATGGCACCCATAATTTATCAGCCTCCATGAACAATTAAAAAATGATATTTATATGCCAGTTCTCCCTCAAAAATCAACCCACAACCCCAATCTTCTCCATCTCATTTCCCAAAGTATTTATCAAATTCCCCAGCCAACACAGATAAATTGACATAACATGGGAAGCACTCAAAATACACGTGAAAACAGAAGCGAGTGGAGCTAAATTAAACGGAGTGGAGACCTTGGAATTCGAGGGAGTCAAAGAGCATAGAAGGTGTTTAGAGTAAGAGGCCAGTGTCGCTGAGACCCTCAGATCTCCTGATATCGTCATTTCCGATTTTGTAAGCTCTCTCTCTCTCTCTCTGGCGCTCGCACCTACACTGTCTCGCTGCTATGTTTTTGCTCGCGGAGTGGCAATTCTGTTTCACGCTGCCTTCCTGGGGTGGACTGATAAGGTGATATGTTATTCACCCGTTCCAACGACGGCGTTTTTATATGGTTTAATTTGCAATTATTTTGTTCTTGTTGACCTAATAGCCAAGTCTTACTTCGGAATTAACGGCATCATAGTAGTTGAGTACTCACCACCCTCATTTTTACCATAAAAAATGATTTCCCCCCCGCCTAATAAAGGCATGGTCTCTAATTTAAAATAGAAAATTTATACGATCAAATCCTCACATGGTCCCTTCTAATTTATCGAATTCAAGTTTTAAATTTCACATTCATGAAAATTTATTAATTTGAATACAATAAATTAATATGTTTTTTAAATCCTTAAAATTTAATCTTAATTATTTAGTAATCTGATTTAAAAAAATGCTTGATATATTCAATTGTTTAATATTGATTTGTTATCCATAAAAAAAATTAATTATTTTATTTTAAAAGTGAGTTTTAACTTAGATTTGATAGTAAATAAATTTTCCCATTAATATAAATCAAATTCAATATAATTTTTTGTGCAAGAGAATATTGAGTATAACGTGATATAAAGGTATTTCAATTTCCCCCTTCCTTAGATCATAAAAAATACACATAAATGAGATTCAATTCTATATTTTTTCAAGCAAAAACAAAAACAAATTAAAATATACTTTAAAAAATATATTTAACTGCAAAAACAAACCCTATCATAAATGCAAGTTTGTTACAAAACAGTAAAGTGACCAAAAAAAGTAATAAAAAATGAATAAATAAAGGGCCATAATTGTTAACAAACAAAATCAGAGTGGTGGAGTCGAAGGCGCAGCTAGAGCCGAGAAAGCTAAGAGGCCAGAGAATAGGGCATGGATCTATCACTCACAATTCACAACAGACTAACATAACCTTCTACTTTCCACACTAAAGAACTGTTAGCTCCCATAATAAAAGAAAGAACCGTCCTGTCCAAAGTGAATGGGCAGCAGGTGGAGAGCTACTGCTTCTCTTGTCCTCGACCACATAACCACAAAAGCTTCTGACTTTCTTTTATCTAACCTTCCCAAACCTTTTAATCGCTCACACCCTTTAATCCAAACTGTCCGTGGCTTCAAATTCAGGCCATTTTCTGCAATCCCTTTCCGGGTTTCGGTTTATAGCTATGAAATTGAATCTGGGTCTCATGATTTCGCTCTTAATTATCCTTTGGGACCTAAAGAAGATGAGGAAACTGGAAAGATTCCCGTCAAAGCTTACTTCCTTTGTACCAGGTCTGCCACTTTATATTATTAATGTTCTTTTTTTTTCCTCAACGGTTTCTTTGTTCTGTGTCCGGAAATGTGTTTTTTTTTTCCTGTAGCTTAGTGATTATTTTTCTTTGGTGGGTTTCTATTGGCTGAAATTTGTGGCTTGGATTAAACTAGGCTTCAATATGCAACAACCCTCTTTAAAGATTGTTTTTTCCCCTGCTGAGAGACTTCTTTTAATGTTAGTAAAATGTTGTCTAGATAGAGAGATTGCCTGTTGTACTGACTGTCCGGTCACTAAAGGGTGATGATTTGAAGTGCCTACGCTTATGTTGCTGGGTTTTGGTTTTTGATAGCGAGCGTCTTTCTTCGGTTCGTTACGTGCTATCCTCTCCATGCTTTATGTTCCTCTTATATTTGTGGTTCTGTGTTTTTTTTTTTCTTTGATGGTTTGGTTTTCTCAGATTCGTGATTTTGGCAGTATTAATTTGAAGAGCATGCAAGCAGAGAATTTAAGCAATGTTGTTCCTCCTACCTCTCGCTCGACAAATTATACTGTCCTCAGATTTTTCAATTTCTCTTCAGACATTAGTGTAAGCTGATTGAAAACAATTACGTAGGGTTTTTTTTTTGTGATCGTTTGAGCTTCGTTAGTTTTCCAAACATTCTACCTCCTTCTGCATATGGATAAAAGTGGTGGGAATCATGTATACTTAAGATCAGATCCTGATTCCAACCAAAAAAAAAAAGAAAAACGAAAAAAGAAAAAACTTTCTAACATGTATTTATGCCTTTCAAGCCGATTTGTTTGATTGTCATCTTATAACATCTGACTTTTAATTCAGGCACTTGGAATAGGAGGGTATGCCAGTTGCCGATACATGGTTGTATTCCAATATGGATCTGCTGTTCTATTTAATATCGAGGATCATGAAGTTGAAAGGTACCTGGAAATAGTAAGGAAGCACACTTCTGGATTGCTTTCCGAGATGAGGAAAGATGGTAAATTGCTTTGAGAAGATCCTATATTTTGTCTTATTTAAATAGAAAAGTTAGTTTGTTTGTCTTGTTTAGTAGATATATTTAACGTTTTGTGATATTGTGCAAATGTGGTACATTCCGCACTTTAATGCTTGAGATGAGAATCGCATTTAGGACAGCATTTAGGACAGTCATCGTATGTTATGGGTCAATGGAAATGCTTCCCCTGCTACTAATTCCAGTGATGTATGGTTGGCTGGCAATGATCGTGACCCAAATACCAGACTTAATAGATGAAGAAGAAAGGAAAATTAGATAGAAAAAGGAGAAATAGATGAAGAAAGGAAAATTAGATAGAAAAAGGAGTGATTCACCCGAATCTCTCTCTTCATGCATTCATTGCGTAATTGTTTTTCAGTTCTCCTTTTCCATTCCGTTACAACCCAATTTATACACACAATTGGTTTGTCCCAAATATTATGGATAACAGGCCTTATTACACGTGTCTCCTAACACATTGCAAGGGATAGCAGGCCTTATTATTACACGTGTCTCCTAACACATTGCAAAATAAAAGTAAAACGGTGCGTTTAGCTACTTGATGAATTCCTGCTCTGACCGCTGATTCAAATCTCCACTGCCTCTGTTATTGCTTGTTCTTCGTCTTCGTCCCCTGTAGTGCTAGTATTTGCAGCATGTGACATCGTAATCCATAACCAACACCAACTAGTTTGGGATCAAGGCTTGATTGTGTTGAGTTGAGTTGAACTCTCATGGCTTTATTAGTCTCTCAATTTTTCCAAGTTTTGCTCTGCCAGCCTCATAATTTGTTTTGTAACCACTTTAACTTTTTGATAATTTCTGAATACGTGAATGATTTCTTGTTTTGGCACTTGGTTTCTTCTTTTATTAGATTATGCCATAATAGAGAAACCACTTCTGGCTGAGGACATGCAGGGAGGTCTAGATTACATCGCTCTCAAAACCTTAGACACTGATAGTATTCGCATTATTGGAAGTGTGCTTGGGCAAAGCATAGCTTTGGACTATTTTGTTTCACAGGTAATCTTGCATTTGTATCCTTGATTTGTGATGTAAATCAAAATCTACATGGTAGAAGAAGACATTAGGTTGTTCAAAACACAGTGTGGCAGATTTCAAGAAATCGAAGCTTTAATCATTTGGATGTCAGGATTCAACTTGTGAAACATTTTTATTTATTATTGAAAAATGGCTAGCACAATTTGGAATGGGATGCCAATTGGAGGAACTTTAAACTCAAAGTAAATTGTTAATTTCTTTTGCCCCTCTCACACCCTCTCTCTCTCTAAGGTTGACGGGATGGTTGAAGAGTTTTCTGGCATAAATCGTGCTATGGAAAAAACTGGAACTTTCACAATGGACAGGAAAAAGCTCCTTCAACTTGTTGGGAAGGCTAATTCAAATCTAGCTGATGTGATTCTAAAAGTGGGTCTTTTTGAGAGGTACTCCATTGTTACCATTGGTTGTTAAATTTCTCTTTGCATATTATAATTTTAAATGGTCTCTTTCACACACTCTATTATCGAATTTCCTTTCAGATGTAAAACCATGTGCTGTTAGGAGATTTCAGTAAGATCTTCTTGTTAAGCACCTGGTGAACCTTTTAGGTTTCTGTTCCATTTCCCCATATATTTACTGTCATCAGTCATTAAGAAGCATGAAGATTTTAAAGAGCAGGAAACTTTTTTAGAAAAGAATCTTCTTTTTCTTGGGTAGTGTTGTCTCCAATTTAAAGAAACGCATCTGGCATCTGAATGAATCTGCTTATCTTAGATGAGGAGTTCTGCATGGAATCCTTTGGATGTTGGTTCAAACTATGATGATTCCATGGGCCATATAAACTATTGATGTTCTTTAGTGCTATTCAATAAGCTGTTCTTAAGTTCCTTGTCGGTCTAGTCTGGTATCATTTCGAGAATGAATGTGCGTGTGCTTCAGCCTCATTATATTTTCAGGTTCCTCACAGAATCTCATTGCTCATTAAAGTTTAGACTCCTTTATCTAAGAAAAAGTGTTGAGACAAGCCTCAGTTAGAAAAGGCAGGTTACAGGTTGACTATAATGAAATTGTAAAATTGATGAATTTGTAGAAGTATCCAAAACAGCATTGTATATGCTGTGATTTTTTAACATGCATTTTGCAGCCTTTACCAGTTCTATTCTTTCACTGTCCAGATCTGAAATTGCTTGGAGGGATGCAAAATATGCTCAAATATATGAGTACCTCAGGGAGGAGTATGAAGTTACTCAACGCTTTGGAAGTCTGGATTACAAGTTAAAATTTGTAGAGGTACGCATCTGCTTTTATTATTGTACCTGATGAATATTATGGATTTTGGTGATTACTTAATTTTAAATAGCTATGTGTACGGTTATTGTGGTGATTGTGTTTATAGAGAGTTAGGCGTGAAAGAGCATATAATACGTGGTGCTCATTGGAGATAGTGCAGTTGCATGAATGAGAGGATGCTTGAAATATTTCATAAAATGTAAAGAAATTTAAATAAGCAGACATATTTACAGATAGTAGACTGTTGATTGATTTGCAGTATTTTTCAAGACTTTTTCAGGTTTCCTCCAAAATATTGCAGTTGGATTGCAAGTAGTAAATTAATGGCTATTCATCTGGCAATTGCTCAATAATCTCCACAAGCACAGTTTCCACATCTCACTTTTCTGAATTTGTTGTGATAGTTATTGTGATATATTCATCTGGGAGCTGCTCTCTCATCTCATCTCTCCCTTCTTGCAGCACAACATTCATTTCCTTCAAGAAGTTATCCAAAACAGACGATCTGATCTTCTGGAATGGTGCATTATATTCCTGCTGAGCATAGAGAATATAATATCAATTTATGAGATGGTTCAAGGATGAAGTGCAGATACATAGCTGATTTGATATACATTGGCATACGACAAAGTTAGGATTGCCGAATGGAAAATCAACAATTCAATCTTTTGTAGAGCAGATCGATTTTTCAATATATATCCGTAATAGATGATCTGATTTTGCAGTACAGAACGTGGTGGAAAGTTTCTGGTGTCCATTTTGTAGTGTCAATTTAGCTGATAGAAAATTCAGAAAGGAAACCTTTTCATACGCCAGCACGGCTATGTATTAACAGTTAAGTGGACAATATGTTTGAACGCTTAGTTTCTCTTTTGAAATCAATATGGAAACATATTCACCCGCAGCGAAGTTCAACTTCTTATTGTAATGATTGCGGCAGGGGGCAGTGCCTGCTGGTAAAACCTTATCACTGTGACCGGAGGTAGGTCAGGCATGTATCGACCTCACCGTCGTGATAATCTTGGTCTGAGGCCTCAAAAGCAAATGTCTGCTTTTGGTTATGATGGTGCCGTTTTTTTCGCAATGGGTTTCTGTTTTTTTTTTTCTTTTTTTTTGTTGAATGAAACAAAGTGGTGACATTTGCTTTTAGTTGGAAAACTTGCAGCTACAAGAAGCATCACAACTTGCCCGTGGAGGACATCATGTACCAGCATGAGGAATTTACATGTGGTGTTTAGACTATAGATGGCATAAACAACATCCATTACGCCCAGTATCAAATGGAAAATCTCTAGTAAAGGCGGATAAGCAATCGACCATATGATGCAAGTGCGCTCTGCTCAGCTGCATCCATCCATCACGTGCATCAGGTCGATTTTCCCCCGTAGCAATCCATAGCCAAAGCTCTCGTTAGTGTAATCGTGTACATGTCATCATTATTGGCTCTCAACGATCCTTACCCACCAAATTCACTAGTGCAGAAACGCTAATAATGGTGTGTAAAATCTCAAACTCATTGCAAGCGCGTAGTGAAGTTCCATTATAGAGGCAATTGGATTTCGAATATTACATCCATAGCAAAGAGATTTTTCATCCGTTGATTACAGAGCACGAATTATGCTTAAATTCCAAAAAATGACTAAAAATACGAGCACTGATCATGGATGAAGATGATGGTGTTCCACATCCTTGGTTCAAAATTCCTCAACCCTGATAGCAGCCTGTGGTACATCATATGCACTTTTAGGCCTAGACTTCTTGACACCAGCTGTAAACCACACCTTATCAGACTTGTAGCTCTCAACTGTCACACTCGTAACCTTGACCCATACGAGCACTTTTGTCTTCATTCCCTCAATACCTGTCAGCTTTCCCCTCGTAAGTATTGTCTTTACTCGAGGTGCATACCTAATTACAGAAGAGTCCTTGAAGCTGACCTCACATGCAGAAGTCAGGTACACAATCAGTTTGGCTTTTGATTCATCGAATTCATAGCAAGTTACGTTCTGGGGAAAAAGTCCCGGTGGCAAATTGTATTCTCGGAGGAGATCTGGCAAACTTTTTAGTGGCTTTCCTGCAGAAAAAAGTAACATACAGTTAAGCATCTGGTATAAAAGAGACGACTTCAATAATGAAAGAAACCTTTAAAAATTGATGTCCTTGTTAACCATCCCATATTAATTAATCTCGAGTCAATTGAAGAAATAGAGCCCTTAATTACTTATAAATAGTTTCAGGATCTCAATTCTGCGAGCAAAATTGTAATATCCATTGTAATAATGCATATTAAAGATGAGAAGGAGATTGCAAAACATTCACTAAAGACTGTAATGTATCGAGCAATCTAGTGGAACTGCGAATGTGTAAACACGCATATGCTATAAAAACTGTTGTGGGCATCACATGTGTCGTTGCTGGCCCAGTCTCACGGTTTTTCAACTTCTTCGAAAAAGCAACAATCACTAAATGGAGCCAGAACATACAAATGATAAAAGATTCTCCTTTCAGAACATTCTCCAGAATTCTGATCTACAAATGACAGCATTGTATCACCTCAAGTGCCACTCAAAACAATAATGCAGTTAAATAAACACAACCTTGTATCTAATTGAAACAATCCGCAATGAGGTGGAGAATGAATATCAAAGACATTGAAAAAAAAAAAACAGTGGCATGTTAAACATCATCGGTGCACAAAAACAAACACCGTGCATCATTAGTCATTTCCTCAAGAATACCTGTTGCTTTAGCTACATATAATTCTCTACGTACCTTTCAACTTGTTGAAAACCCATCTTGCCTTCTCTTCAACAGTATTTGAGATAGTCTGCAACCACAAGCAATCGTGAACTTACACCATATACAAAACAAGTTTCACAGCAAAGCAAAACTACCATACAACCCAAAATAAAAGAGGGCAAAAACTCCATTTGGCAATACAAGACGCACGAATGAAATCCTAGGGGCAAAAACTCCATTAGGCAATACAAGACTTTTTTTTTGGTAAGTATTAGGCAATACAAGACGCACGAATGAAATCCTAAAAATCCTTTTCCTTTTTCATTGGTTCAAACACAATCATTTCATACAAGAAACTCAATTGGGTCTCCTTCAATTCGTCTCTTTTCCTTTTCTTTTCTTCCAGTCAGTAAACCCCATGAAAGAAAATTAAAATGTAACCTCCAAGTTTTCGAAACCCCTGGATTCAATACAAAATAAAAAGAAATATCTTGTCCACATTACATATTCTTTTTTTCCATGATGGCATAATCATTTACTATCTGCATTCTTTTTTTTTCTTCCATGATGGCATAATCATTTACTATCTGAAAAACAAACCCATCTCCGAAAGGACTCCTGTTTCCATGAAAATCAACAGATCCATTTAAGATTAGCACAATATCATTAAATGGGTATCCTCCAATCAACCCACATTACACCAAAATCACCTAAAACAAAAGGCATACTAGCTCAATAAAAGTACGGTAAAACAAAATCATCATGACACAGACATAAAGTTAAAGGAAAAGGGAATTAGAGTACGTACAGGCATCACTTACATTGATGTCTTCAGTAATGTTGGAGAACTCTTCTTTTGCTTTCTTTGAGATCCATAAGCTTCCTACTTTCAAGCTATTCACTTTTGTTAATGCTTTCTCCATTGCCTCAAACTCTCTCGAGCACCGAGCACAAGACTTCTCTTTCTCCTCTCCGATCTGTTGGTGAGGCTTGAGAGAGAGGGCGTGAGACGACTGAAACAGTAAAATGGAAAGGAGTGGGGTTGCTTTTCTGGCTAAAATCTGAACACTGGTTGGCACAAAGGGACAAAAAGTGTAGCTGCACAGCACATTTGAAAAAACGAAAAGCGGCGCTCACGCTTCTCTAGGCACTGAATTTTCAATTTAACCGAGGGTGTTTCTGTAAATTTCAGAAAGGGTGATGATGGAACTTGCCGCGATTCCTTTGGATTATTATCTGCTGTCCCTTTCTTTATTTTCTCGTGTCACAGGATCATTCTCTGTTTATCAATTACTATTTTTTTTGGGAAAAAAATCCATCCTCTGTTGATTGATTATTATTATTAAAATGGGTCACTGTAACAGCTATGCACGAGAAAAATAAGATGAAAATTTTATGCAGAAGTTAATGTAAACTTTTGATGATTTCATAGTTTCTAGCGCACAAGGTGTTTTTGCTTTGTGTTTCCTTTCTAATTCTTTTCTGTTTCATGTCATATTCACATTACATTTAAAAAAAAAAATTGTTCGCATGATATTTTCATTTCAATTTCTAACGCTAAAAAATAGATCCAAATCCTTTTTAGAAAGTATCGGAAAAATTCCCAGTGTTAAATTTTAGTTTCAATTACAGCATCAGTCAGAAATTTATAATACTAACAATATAGGATTTACAACGACAGACGTATCATGCAAGCAACTGTATACAAGTTCATATCAAATCTTTCTTCCATGCAAATACCTTTTGCTGTGCTTCTAAAACAAGGCTGATGATTAAGAAGGAATCATTTTGCCATAAGTATGGTAAAATGCATTTAGCAAGGGCCCAAGACTCTGAAAGCGACTGCCTACTAGAAAGGATAGATCCCCCGGAGCTAATACTGATGAAAAGTCTTTCAATTTTTCTCTCTTTGGGTTGCTTCATGTCCCCGCATTTGTCTATACCAGGCTGATGATTAAGAAGGAATCATTTTGGTATAAGTATGGTAAAATGCATTTAGCAAGGGCCCAAGACTCTGAAAGCGACTGCCTACTAGAAAGGATAGATCCCCCGGAGCTAATACTGATGAAAAGTCTTTCAATTTTTCTCTCTTTGGGTTGCTTCATGTCCCCGCATTTGTCTATACCAGATAATTAAAGATGCAATGGAACATGGTGGGCCTGAAACCACGATTTTTCCAGCTCATTAGTCGACAATGACAACTATAGCAATGCAGCTGCCTCTTGTGTCAACAGCCCCATCTTCGTGGATCACCAGGCGGGCTGCTTCGTCGGTGACAGTGTTTGCTGTTTAATAACAAACAAGGAAAAATTCTATTAATAAAACATACACCATAACATATAACATTTGTCGTTCATAAAATGCTAGGCATTTATAACTATATAAAAGCAGCCTGCAGATCTGTTTCTTTTTTTTTTTTAAAAAAAAAAGCAATGACTAGGGCATCAGTCCAGCCTTCTCAACAAGTATTCAACCTGAACTTCTTTTGTCAGAGGCATGGTCCAGTTTTTGTACAGATTAGCAACTAAAGTTGGCTCCACTTTGTGTAGGGAATCAGTTCCGTCATCCTGCTGGGTGACCCCTACCTCTTGACCATAACTTCTTGTTTTCATCTCTACTCGGTTCTTAACAGCTGCTTCCACGGCTTCATATGTGAGCAACGCCATGAGTTGAGCTCGATCCTGCAAGAACCACGGCCCAAAGGATGACAGGAAAGGATGACAATGTGACTAAATGAAAAAAAAATAAGGAGACAAGTATCGAAGCAGTTTAATCTGCACTTTGATAGCGGCCTCGTAATCAAAGGGGGATTCCCAAACCGTAACCCCTGCAACAAATTTTCCTTAGTGGATTCTCTGTGACAGAGCCTGCAATAAGAGTCCAATAGTAGGAACAAATACAGGATTTTAGATTGAACTCTCTTGCAGAAGTCATCCATTTTAATTTACCAGTAAATTACGTAGCACAAAAGTGGCAGTGCAAATACTAGCATGTTACTTGGCTCAGGTATCAGAGAGGTCTAGGAAATCATAGTAAAGTTTCATTATGGCATACCATGCCAATCCTCAGATCAGAGACATGACTCGACACGTCATGGAGTCCGCAAGAAATTCTCATTCTCAAAAAGGAAAACGAAATCTTCTTAACCATCAATGAAATTTAATTCCTCTGTATAAAAGAAAATAAAAGAAAAGCGCTGTAAATCTCTTCAGCATTCATAGGGGTCCGCTTGGCTTATTCAAGACAGAGAAGAGGTCGATTTTCAACCTCCACGAAGGTACAGAGTCCTTGTGGAGACGTCTTGAAACCATTGACTGCCATCAAAAGGGCACGTGCTTCAAGGTGTCTAAATAAACTGGGACCTACTTGCAATAAAGTAAAATGATCGGTTCAATGGCATACCTGCAAGCAAAAAGAAAATAAAAGAAAAGCGCGGTAAATCTCTTCAGCATTCACAGGGGTCCGCTTGGCTTATTCAAGGCAAAAAAGAGGTCGATTTTCAACCTCCACGAAAGTACAGAGTCCTTGTGGAGACGTCTAGAAACCATTGAATGCCATCAAAATGGCACTTGCTTCATGGTGTATAAATAAGCTGGGACCTACTTGCAATAAAGTAAAATGATCGGTTCAATGGCATACCTGCAAGCAAACCATGTCACAAACCATGGAAGAACCACAGTCGCCACCAGCCCTAGCTTTCACCAGCCCTGGAAGATGATCCCTGAAGTACATGTTCCAACTTCCAAACCTTTTTGTTTATATTGGTTGAACCAGCACAAGGATGCAGAACCTCATATCACATCAGTAAAGAGACCAAATCCGTCAGCAGAGAAGACACTCAGCACAAAACTCGACTATTTTAGAAAGAATCACAGCTCATTTATTCAACTGTTGAAGTAGAAGGCATGAGCAAGTGTCACTTGAGATATGCAGTGTTTGGTAATTGTGTCACGGAAAACACACATTGTAGATCAAGACCTTACCTGCTAAAAGAAAGTTGTGAGAAAGAGATGAGTTGCTGAGCAAGCATCAGTATGGTGCAAGTTTATTAATCATGTCAGAATCCCAAACCATAATTCACATTTTAGCAGAGCATAATGCAAGGTACATGATAAAAAAATTTATTACATTACCATGTTTAGTAACCAGCAAATACTGAACAAACCTACTATTTGAACTCAATTGACTACGCAGAAATTAGTACAGAGTGCAAAATGGTTCCTTTGGCAGCAAGATTAAATTGTTCTCGTCATTTTATTCGAAATGCCTTGCCTCTCAATGCTTGTAAGTTTTAACAGCCTATCCCAATTCTAGTTTATTAAAAAATGATGTCGAAACCACAGGGAACGCGGCGCCGCATTTGGTTGAATTTGTATCCAACAACAAACATGCTTCCGGAGAACACGAATCACAAAGCAATTAGATTCGGTGCCCATAATGCCAAATATTGTAGCTATCCAGAGAGATGGGGTTTTGAGGCTATGTTGAGTTCAGAATAAATTTGTTGATGATGGCCAAACTTATCAAATCAAAGCAAGCATAATCATAGAAATGTGTTCACTCTGAGATTGTAGAATGCTCAGCATAATTCACGAGCTTGAAGTAGGCCTGTCACAATGTATGAAGAGAGAATATTTCTCACCATTGGTTACTGCAAAGGAGGCAGCATTGGGTCAGGTAAAGTTTCTCAAAAGAAGGGGTTCGCATCTGGACTTTTACATCGCCCCACATAATTTAAGAGAGGAGAACTTAAAATTTATGAAATCATGATTTTGTTAGAGTGTTTCCCTTTTTTCTCTCTTGAAAGCGCACCTGAGGATGGAGCCTTTCGGTTTCTTTTACAATGAACTCGACTAAAGAACCATGGAAACCGTCCATGCATACCTGGAATATACTCGGATAAATAAGGCCCATTTGATCTTGAAAATATAGAGTGAATGATATCTAATACAAAGAAGAACACGAACAACACAAGGCTCCACGGACTGTTGATATGTTAAATGTTGCAATCGTGCTTCTTGGCTACGAGGTTGTGCTCAGTACAACATGTTTGGCCTTAAAAAACAAATCACAGCAAGTGTTCAGCCTTGTTTGCCATTTTATTCGGTTTAGACTTTAGTGAAAGAATGCGAAGGTGTTGTTCCGTTGATTAGTTTGGAGATCGAGGTAAATGGACGGACACCCGGGAGGGAGGGGGGGTCCATTCCGGTCCACGAATTACTGCCTTCTGAAGTCCAGTCTTTAGATCCATCTCTTTTCAAATGATAGCAGGCTTAGACTGGCATATCGGACCTTGAACTTGGACAGTCTAGCCCGTAACTAAGTCTGCTCGAGCCCACACCAATTTTTGCTACAGGGTCCATAAAAAAACACACCAGTGATGCTATAAAATAAAAAAGGAGTTTTCAACAAAAAAATAAAAATAAAAAAGGAGTCCCGTAACCAAATTAAGAAACGAATCTTTCTCACATCTCAGTTTTTTAGTGGATCGACCTGCAATTGGCTTGTCTTAGCGATTAGCGATCCTATTTATTATTTGGGTGGAAAGAAAATGTCCCGACCATTATATGAAAGGTTGTGTCCCGCACATATTTCTTTAAAAGTGATCAACAGTAATTAAACTAAGTTCATGATTGTATATCAGTAGATTAGAGACAGAAGTCGATGTCATGATATAAGAGTCGCGGGAGATTGAGAAGCATTAAGGAGGAGAGGAGAGAAGGACGAGGATTTCTTGAAGAATAATGGAATAATGATATATAAACAAAATCATTGACAACATCAACATTCATATGATGAAAAGAAAAAACAGCATCAAAATGCCTGCTAGCTAGCTAGCCTTCTTTGTCCATGAATCTTCGAGCTTTCACAAAAGCCTCCTTTAAGTATGCCCGAAACCTAACGATATCAAGCTTGACATTTTGGGTCTTCATATATACCATGGCCTTTGTATAATTTCCGTTGACAAAAGCTGAAGGGTTCTTAAGCACCAAATCATTAACCCGATACTTTTCTGCCAAGCTACTTTCGTTAACTTCAATCTTATATTTCATATACTCTAATCCCAAGACTCTAGCAGGCTTCTCGTAGAATGTCTTAGCAGGCCAATCTGTTCCAATTGGCACTATTTCACCCACCACCGTTCCTACTCTTAGAAACAATAAATGTGTCATCGCAGCACCATGTACTGCTAACATTGCATGACTTCCATGGAGTAGCCTGTATGTTTCCCTCACCGAAGCATTTCGCTTTGGCTCGAACACTATTGCTTTAAATCCCACTTCCTTGATTGTCTTGAGAACTTCTTTCAAGTTCAAGATCTCACGACCGACACCATTTTTTCTATTCACCAGAACAAGCTGGGGCCTACCACCCTTAGATTTACCAGATGTCGAAAGATATTTACCTCGGGGACCATATGTATTTTGTAGGAGTGCATGGAAATCAAGGAGTGTTTTATTCCGGGGGAGCAATGTAGGGTCCACAACTAAGGGACCGTGTGTCATTAGCCCTACGGTTGCTGATGGGAAGCAGTGTGTCCTGGTCTGATTGTCCATGTTGACGATGGGGTGCCTGGTGAATTGATGCAGTAGATCAGCGTATTTTTTGGCCCACCAATCACTCCAATTGGTGACCACTAGGATGACATCTTGATCTAGAGTGAGAGAATTAATGGTGATGTAGAGAGCAAGCAGACCATCATTGAACTGATGGTAGAAGTTCCCCGTGTACCCGCCCGTGCTGAATACTATGGCTGGACTAGAATGCGTGATTCCGCAGGAGGATTTTGGTGGAGCTGAGGTGAGTGTTAGTTCGTTGACTTTAGACTTGGCATTTTTATCCGTCTTCCGGGGGTAAGGATGAAATTTCACTGTGGAGTCTAGTGGGGTCGAGTTACTGGCGCCGATTGCGAAGAATGTTGAAGTGATTGGATCCAAGAGCGTTGGACCGTTGACAAACCACATATCATAGTATCGGTGAGAGCAGTCGCATGTGATTACGTTCTCGACCCCTGAACGGGAGGTTGAAGAAGCTCGCTTGTCTTCCCGTGCCATGTTCATAGTAACTGTAAAACACAAGGCATGTCTATTTTGAATGCAAGCAAACATTTGTGCAAATCACAGTGATTGGAAAAACAAGTAATGGCTTTGGTTTAAGGATGACTGTTTTGATTTAGGAGATGTTTAGGGTACACCGTAGTTGTTTTTCAATGTAATTTTTAATAAAAAAAATATATCAAAATAAATTTATTTTACTTTTTAAAATTATAATTGACATTAGCACAATTAAAATAGTTAAGAGCATAAAAATATAAATTCAAACAAAAATAAATTCAAACTTCAAAAAACATGCTTTCAGTTATGTTCCCAAACAGTCATTTAGCTATAGAAGAAAGATTGAATTGAATTACCTAAAAAGAAAAAAGACCAAATTGAACAGAATGTATCGAATTACAAATTGTGCTGTTTGAGTTCAATAATTTTCGAGAGATGGATCATGAGAGAGGAGGTGGATCGCTAAAAGAACTTCCTTCAGCCCATTTGTGTTGGAAAGGAATAGCAAATTGATATTTAAAAAGAATTATTAACTTTTCATTTTAAAACCAACTAAAATCAGATTAATAGAATTGAATGCGCCACTAAACTCGATTTAGCTTAGAAATTCAATTTAGACTGATCTGCTCATCCTAACAGCATGCCTGAATGGGTGTGTGAGAGTGCTGGCTTTTCTTCCCGTTTCTTTCTTATAATACCTGCATACCATATACTCGGAAGTCTGAATGGATGGAGTTTTCCAATTTAAATGTATCTGTTCATTGGAAGTGATTTGCTAATACAGCATTTTTCAGCCCAGTGTTTATTTTACGAAAGCATATTAGGTGAATTGATAGAAAAACAACAAAGAAATTAAGAACTCAATTTGTTGAATCACATTGTTTTAATTTCTTCAAGATTCAATAAAAATGAAATGTGAAACTAAAGCTTTTCTTCTTTTCAAAAATTTGGATCGAAGTCCAACGGAACATCATTATTGGATACTTGATTTGATATTTTCTTAGAGTGGATCTGTGTTTTTTAACTTTTTATGAATCAATGATTTATTATATTTATATTTATATGTGATTTGTTAATAATAATTAATTTAACAGAACAAATCCATCCGATAATTCCCCTTACAAAAATTGTTGCAATTTTATTTAGTCTATTTTCACGATCGTACACGGGACTTGAATGCTAGCGAGCAACTATGTGAAGTCTTCACAAGTAATGCAAAGCTATACAAGATCAAAACAAGAAATAGCTGCACCAACAAACATGATCCATGTTTTTATATGAAAACTAGACAAGAATTAACGAAAAACAAGAAAATGGTTCCAGACTAGCTAGGTGATAAGGAATTGCAGAAGGTCAACTCTATCAGACAATCAATGAAACCTGGTATTTTGATATTTGAGTCTGTAATTGAGAAGAATATCATGGCAATCACAACTTAGTTAATCCTGATTATCGATGGAAGGATTACGTAACCCATACCTGGTTTACTCCTGGCTATCAAGGAGGCCAAATTTGATCCAGAAAGCAACGAGAAGTTTATTTGGGAAGTGAAGAAGAACACCATAAACACGAACACGAAGGACACAATTGCAGTTGTAGGAACTCCCTTCTTCAACATGGTTTTGTTGCGTGGCTGGAGTACTGCCTGTAAGAAGACGGTGTTTTATGCGAAAGGGAGATACCTCGTCAAGAAGACGATCGGCTGCTAATGCTACCATATAATTAAAATAATGTATTGTCTGACCAAAATGGAGGCCATGATAAGACGTGGAAATAATTTGGGCGCCAGTAATAGGAAATTAGTAATATGACAGTGATTTGTACTTATGAGCTACTTGGGAAACCACCTACCAAGTGAATTTCTTATTTAATTGGCCATCGATGCTCAAATGCTGATTGTATATTGATCCTCGGAGCGACCCCTCGATGTCTCGCTTTAAATTATTCTTGAAGGGAATAAAGAAACAAGTAATTGTGAGATGCGGACGAAAAACAAATTTGTAGCTGTGGACAGCTGCGTCACAAAACGAGTCCACAGCTAAACAGAAGCATGGACAAAAAAATAACGACCATGAAATTCCACGCTCTGTATCCCCTTCAATGTTTAACGGAAAACGCTAGGGTCTGTAAATCGAGAAGACTAGGATCAGATGCTGATAATCTCGGTGACTGGCTGGTTGCAAGAAGCCGAATCACTGTTCTTCGTTGGTTTCGAAGAATAGTACCGAGAATTGGAAGGGACATGTGGATAAGATACTCCCCAGGTTGTCCTCGTGATTAAAAGCTCGTAAGAGATGTGCCATTGCTACTAAGCGAAAACAATTTCACGTCTCGTACCAAAAAATATCATTTCGTGTTTGCGTCTTGCCATTGATGAAAGTGAATATAATTATATTTCTGAAATTTCGCATAATTTATAGGTGGTTGGATTTAGAAATGCAACGACTGGAAGCTTAAATTGGACTAGTTTAAGATTAATTAAATTAAATAACTAACAAGGTCCACCTGATCGAAACATAATTGATTGATTTAACATAATTTAAAATTCAATTAAATCAACTCTGTAATATATAAAATAAAATAAGATAATAAAGTTAATCGTTCCAAAAAAATGATTAATTTAATTACGCAAAATTTTTTATTGTATCAAATACACATCAACCATGGATATCATCACTTTTATTAAATGATAAGTGACAAAAGGTGTTCATATCAACATTAAATAAACTTGGAAAATGGAGTGTTGCTGTAAGCTGATGTAGCGGGATCATCACCTCTCACTAAAAAACAATTAAGCCAAAAAAA